TCAAAAAAAAAAAAAAAAAAAGAAAAGCAGAAAACTATGCCCAGCAGAACTAAGCCCTGCATGAACCGACAAAATGCACACCTGCACAAACTTCAAACATACCCAGCTACCTCAGTAAACTTTAGGCCCTTTTCAAGGTAAAGTGTCCCATTGTGGTATGTATCTATAGCTTAATCATTTAGTATGTATAAAACTGTTACTATTAGATTTCTGTCTTTTTCCTTTTTAATATGATACTGTCTTTTTAAATATTATAACCTAAACCCACTTTCCGATCAGCCTAGTAATTTTTTATTTTTTATTTTTAGGTTGGGTTTTACTGTCACCCAGGCTACAATACAGTGGCATGATCATGGTTTACTGTAACCTTGAACTCCTGGGCTCAAGTAAACCTCTTGCCTTAGCCTCTGAGCAGGAACTTGGGCTACAGTCATGTACCACCACACCTAGCTTACTGGGCTTTTTTTTTTTTTTAGAGATAGGGTGATCCTGGCCTCAGGTGATTCTTCTACTTCAGCTTCCCCAAGTGCTGGAATTACAGCTACTACACCTGGCCAGCCAGGTGATTTTTTTTCTTTTTTGAGACAGAGTCTCTTTGTTGCCTCCATTAGAGTGCCATGGTGACATAGCTTGCCCTAACCTCCAACTCCTGGGCTCAGTCAATTCTCTTGCCTCAGCTTCCCCAGTAGCTGGGACTACAGGCACTGGCCATAACGCCAGGGTATTTTTTTTAGAGACGAGGCCTTGCTCTAGCTCAGGCTGGTCTTGAACTTCTGAGCTCAAGCACTCTGCCTGCCTCAGCCTCCCAGAGTGCTGGGATTACAGGTATGAACCTACAGGCATGGGCCACTGCACCCAGCTGGTGGTTTTTATTATATGATTTTACATAGTGCCATGATTGTTAGGAAGGCATGTGTTATATTATAGCAGAACTATATTTTTATTTAATCTGACATAAAATCATTACTGTGCCTAGGTGTTTGCCATTAGTACTGTCTTCTCTTGAGTTCAAGATCCCAAAACTGGCTCGGCGCCTATAGCTCAACC